TAGTGTGAGTAGGTTATTGTTAGTGTAAGTTATTCAAAAGTGTAAAGTAATAATGTACATACGTACATTTTTCTGTTGAAATTCCGAATTTCTATTGGCTAAAAAAAACCGGTCCGAAAACCGGTCTTGGACCGGACTGTTTAATGGACCGGTCTACTGATTATGGTCCGGTCCACGGTCCGCTACTCGGACCGGTCTTTTAGGACCAAGACCGGACCGGACGGACCGTAACATCCCTAGTCATCGACCAATCAAATTTTCTATAATTTTTAACCAGGACGACAGAAAAAGTTTAGCTCGCTTTTTTCTTTTTTTTTTTTTTTAATAATGGAGGTAATTGCAGATTATTTTATGCTATACAATCTTTATGCTCAAACATTTTTGACCTTATTGTTTTACGCGTATTTTACAGCAACAACAATTTATTAACGGTCTAGAAGGACTACTTACTCAGTTGGTTTCTAGTGACACTGATACAGCGCGGATAAGAACGGTATGACTATGCGAATAGAAAATAACAACAGAATTTATATTCCTAATACGCGATATCTAATATCATGTATATTAAACTCGTTAAATTATATGCAAGGCTACTTCCACGTTGAATAATGAATATTATAATTCAGCTTCTTGTGTGCCAGCTTATGTTCACATATTATCGAGTTCTCCGAGTTGGCAGGTTTGAAATTCGCGTCCCATATGAATACTGAAATGTTTTTATATATTGATCATTATTTTTCCATATGATCTTGGTTTATAGGTACGACAGCTTGCAGCCGTTGAGTTAAGGAAGCGTGGTCCCAAATGGTGGTCAAAAATTGATACAAATTCTCAGTCGGCGATAAAATCACGCTTGCTTGAGATTATTTTACAAGAACCGGAGTATGTATCGAATTTAACTTTTTTATGAGACAATATCTTTGTTTCTAACTTTAATATAATCCAGAAACATTGTACGTCATGCTACTGCACGTGTCATATCATCCATCGGTAAAATCGAAATACCGGCTGGTAATTGGAATGATTTGCTTCAATTCTTATACCAATGTTGTAAAAGCCAAAATGCGGGTCAACGTGAGGTAAAATAACTATTTATAATTGATTACAAATAACTCTTTCAACGTCCTGAATATAATAATTTTATTCAAGGTGGGGATATTCGTTCTTTTTACTTTGTTGGAAGTCATCGAAGATGTGTTTGCGGATAATCTTCTTCAACTATTACAACTATTTGGTGATGCCCTCAACGACCCTGAAAGTCAAGCTGTCCGTGTCATCACAATGCAGTAGGTTCTTTAGTCATTATTTGTTTTTTAATAAGAGGCATTGTTAGAAATTTTATATATTAAGTTCATTTTGGATTTATTAAGAGCTTTAGGGAGAGTCGCAGAATTTATAGAGCCAGATAAAAAAGAAGAGATTGTATGAATTCCCACGAAAATTCCGAAAATAACATTATTTTACTATCCCTCAGCTAAAAAATTTCTAACAATTCTATTCCATTTGTAATTAGCAAATATTTCGAAATTTAATACCCCCTATGGTTAACATTCTTATACAATGTTTAAAAGATGGTGACAATGACTCTACAATTAAAGGTTTTGAGCTATTTGAAACATTACTCATGATGGTATGAAGTTGGCAGTTTTTTTTTTCATCATTGGGTTGTTATTAGTAGGTTTAATTTGTTTTATGTCGCAGGATGCGCCTCTTCTATCGAATCATTTACCACAACTTATTGAATTTGCTTTGACTGTTGCGCGCAATACTGAATATGATGAGTCTGTTCGTATAATAGCATTACAATTTTTAATATGGGTTGCTACATAGTAAGTATTCGTGTTGCGAGTGAATCATTTATATAAATAATTTAGTAATTTCATTACGTAACATAAATTATTTAGTAAAAAAGCCAAAATTCAAAGACTTAAGCTTATCGGTCCCATTATTCAAGAATTAATGCCAATTGGTACCGAAGATGACCCTGAAGATATTCACGAAGAGTCGCCATCTCGAGTAATTGTCAAATGATTTTAAAGAGACTACAGTTATATTGTATGCTTATCATTACATTTTTAATTTTATAAATGCATCGAATAGATGTCTTTTAGAGTAATAAATTCTTTGGCGACGAAGTTACCACCCCAACAAATTTTTCCTGTTGCTATGGATTATATTACTGCATACGTTCAAAATACTGATCCAAAATTTAGGAAAGCTGGAATGATGGCTTTCGCTGTATGTTGTTAATGTCATTTTGTATTAAATTATAAACACGTGTTCCTGTTCTAACACAATTCAATTAAATTCAAATACTATTAAGGTTCTTATCGAGGGATGTTCAGATTATATGCGACCAAAATTCAATGATTTATTACCCATCGTTTGCAATGGCTTACGTGATCCTGAAATAATCGTTCGTAGAGGTGCTTGCTTAGCGTTAAGTTGTTTAGCAGGTTCGTATAAATGGTATAATTACACTTTTTTGTTAATAAATTTATATAATAAATTAATCTGGAGATTTTAAATATTGTAAAATAGAGGAATTGGATCAAGAAGTTGCTAAAAATCATACAACTTTGCTACCATTGCTCTTTGAACTTACGAATGATACAAGCACAGAGATTGTAAAACAAGCTTGCAATGCACTTGATCTTATTTTAGAAGGATTGGGTGATGAAATTCTTCAATATTTACCCGCATTAATGGAGAGGCTCCTTGTTTTAATGGACAATGGTGCCAATGAAATAAAAGACACTGTTATCGCGGCCATCGGAAGTGCTGCTCATGCATCTGGCGAAGTAATTCTTCATTTGCCGTTATTGAACATTCGACAGAATTATATTTTGTTCTAAATATTGATAAATGGCATTCCTATAGGAATTTAAGCTATATTTCCAGGGAGTGATCGATCGACTACGGATATTGATGACATTGAGTCAAACGGATGAAGATATAGTTTTACGTGGTGTAGCGACAGATACTGTGGGTGCAATTGCTGAGGCAGTGGGAAAGGAAATGATACAGGTCCGCAAATTTCTTCGAAAATATGACAATTATTACGAATTATGCTAAATTGATTTTTACGTTATTTTTAGCCATACGTTGATGATATTATGCGTTTAGCTATCGAAGGCCTGCATAAGGACTCGACACGTCTTCGCGAGTGTAGTTATTGTTTATTTGCAGTCTTATCTCGCGTATTTAAAGAAGAATTTGCATCATATTTAAGTACGATTATGCCACAATTAATAAAAAGCTGTCAAATGGAAGAACACACTATACTTAGTGTTGAAGGTATGATGTTAACTGTGTTAAAATTTTAATAATGAGGAGCTTTTAATCAATATTTTATGTAAAATTATATAACCTTTAATAGAAGAAGAGGATCTTTCATGTGATTTAGATATCGATGATGAGGAAGATACCGAAATTACCATCGGTTCTGCCGTGGTCGATGAAAAAGAAATAGCTGCCGAAGCAATTGGTGAAATATTTGAAAATACGCGATCTCATTTTCTTCCATATGTAGAATCGACTCTCCAAGAGTTGATAAAACTTTCGAATCATCATTCGGAGACTGTAAGAAAAGTAGTAGTTGGATCTTTATTTAGCTTTTTGGCTACATTTTATAGTATGTCAAATCCGACTAAATGGGAGCCTGGCTTGCCTGTGGTATGTTTTACGATTGATTTTTTCTGAAAATTAATTACATGTGAACATTTTTGGGTTTACTTTTTTTTTTTTTCCTCTTAAAGAAAGTCCCTATCCATGAAAATGTGTATAATATGGCCAAAGCCGTCTTATCAACGATTTTAACCATGTGGGAGGACGAAGAAAGCAAGTAAGAAATTACGAAATATTTATTATGATTGATAATATGATGATTTATTTTACTACTCAGCTCATTATGATTTTAATGTGATAATGAAAAATTATACTGATTGCCAATTTTTCGATGATAATTTGAAATTGTTATAATGTATCTGATTAATATTATTCCTCTTCTAAAGAATTGTAGTAATCCAAATTTGTGCTGAACTTGCTGATACTATCAAAATCTGTGGACCTGCTATAATTGCTGACTGTAAGTGCTCTTAACTATCGTTGCCTGTGATGCATATATTGCCTTATTCAATCTATTTTTCGAAATCCATAAGATGTAAGGCCGATTGCAGAAAATGTTCTTTTGCTTTACCAAAAAAAAGCCGTATGCCAACAAGATAACGATGACGATGAAGGTTTGCTAGATGACGATGATGAAGCAGAGTATGATTCGCTCCTTATAAGCAATGCATCAGATCTTGTTGCAGCAATGGCTTTAGTTCTTGGATACGATTTTGTTCCCTATTTCAAGGAGTATATTCATCATATTTCTAAATACTACGTATGGTCGACATTTAAGATTTTATTGAATTATATTGTATTTTATTTTGGTTTATAAAATATCGGTTAATATTTTTTTAGAAAAAAACAAAACCAGTTTCTGAGAGATCTATGGCAATTGGATGTCTTGGAGAAACCACAATTGGTTTAAAGGACGGGGTCTCAGAATTTACTGATGTAAGTTAATATTTTATCATTTTCATGATTTAAGCATATGTTGATTATACAAATATCTTTATTTTATAGCAACTTTTGCCCTTGTATTTAAAAGCTTTGGCTGATGAAGATGAAGAGGTTCGAAGTAACGCTGCATTCGCAGTTGGGCTTCTTTGTCAGCATACACGTTTGGACATTAGTAGGTGAGTAATCAATTAATATCATTAATAACACATATTTCAAAAAAAAAAAAACTCATACTGTGTTTAAATTAATAGCCAATATGGAGATATACTTTCTAGGCTGCATCCTCTATTTACAGGACAGTCATTATTAAACGTTACTGATAATGCATGTGGAGCAGTATGTAGGATGATTATGGCTTGTCCTCAGGCGATTCCAATGGATCAGGTAAATTTGTTATTTATTGTTTAACATATATGTTTGAATGAATGTTAATAGTAATAATTTTTGAAGGTGTTAGAAGTAATATTGCGTACGTTGCCAATAAAACGAGATTTTGAAGAAAATGAGCCTGTTTTTAAATGTATATCCGTACTTTTCCGAACCAATAATTCATTTGTAAGTGAAAATCAACTGATACTCTATATATTTTCAAATATAATTAATCCTAAATTATTTACAGGTTTTCAATCACATTCACGAGTTTTTTAATATATTTGCGAAAGTTCTTTCCCCACCCGAAGATCAACTTAAGGATCACACACGCCAAGAATTAATAGAACTTATTCAAGCACTTAATCAACAATTTCCTGATGCAGTTCTTAGATCATCATTAGGTGAATTAATACAATTTTAATTTTACTATCGTTATAGCCATTTACACATATTAGAATATATATAATTCAAACATATTGATATAGCGCATTCATTGTTATAGTATAAAAATTTATATTACGAACATATTCTCAATATACAATGTTATAAAAATTATGATACGATCTTTAACTACTATAGAGCAATTATACGTGTTATAGCTTTATGAAAAGCATTTATTTAACCATGTGATATAAATAAAAACCAATATTTCCATCGCTATTTTCTACCCGAGGTTTTTTGTTAATAAATATTGAAAGATTTATATATTGAGAACCAAATGATTAACCTTGATTAAGTATTAAGGCTGATTAAATTTTAGATACAATATAGTACTACATATTTGTTCAAAGAAATTAGATAAGTATGTGGCAATTATAAATTCAGATTTTAAATTATATATGTGCATCAGGTTTAAAGGAACATATATTAGGTAGGTCATGGGCTTAATTTACCAGCCCAGTAAGGTTAAAAGAACTCATTTTTTTTCAAATAGATTCATTTTTTCTATATATAGTTAATTTGAATACGTATCAGACGACATTACTGTATATATACGTATAACGATAATGAAATAAATTTAATTTACCAAGATAATGGCTAATTAGACTTACTGTAATATAAATATATAAATATGTAAATATGTAACCTGAATAATATTCGGTTGATGTCTGATACGTATTATAAACTTGAAAAACTATGAATAAAAAATTCGGCGGATTTCAAAATTTACGAATTTGCTACGTAATACTATTAAGTATCAGAATCTAAAAATAATACCTAGAGAAAACCGTTTTTTCTTGGGGTTACTCATTTTTAAATTCCCGATACTGATATTTGTAAAATTTTTATTCGAAGATCAAATTGCTGAATTAACTATTATTTTGCTAGTCCAAACCATAATTTGCATGATGTACTGTACATCTTTTAATTGATTATCCCAAATTTTCTTTTTAGAGTATAAGGCAAGTCTCTGCCGTTAAATATTTATAATATGACGATGTCATTATTATTATTATTATTATTATTATTTTAACCTATATAACAGTGCGTGCGGAATTCAATTTAAAATCAATCTTTCGAATTGAAGCTTTTCAAGAATGTCAAGAGTCTTTGCCTTAGCGAATCGTATCTACACTAACAGTTATAATAGTCGCCCTCTACTTACATCAGCTTGCACAAACGCATTTATTGCATCAATATCTGATATATTGGCTCAAGGTATTACATTAGCAAAAAAAAAAAACAACTCCACTTCCGCAACAAAACCTGAGTCATCAATTACTATGAAATCTTTATCAAATGTTAATGAAGAAACTTTATCAAAACAATTTCAAAAGCAAGTATCCGCGAATATTGAAAGTTCAAATCTCAATAATGAAACTTTACCAACACAAGTTCAAAAACAAGTGTCCGCGAATATTGAAGGTTTTGATTACATTCGCACTTTAAGATTTTCATCTTATGGATTTATAATTGCTCCAGTTGTTTATACTTGGTTTTCTTTTTTGGATAAAAGATTTCCATTACCTCAAATAAAAACTAGTAAAGCTACACAAATAAGTACCATAGTTAAAAGAGTTTCTGTAGATCAAATTGCATTTGCACCCGTCGGATTGTCTTTATTTTTTATTATTATTGGAGTGTTTGAAGGTCATGATATAAATGGCATTAAACAAAAATTTCGAGAGGTAATTAATTATGACTTTCGTCGATCACCAAAAAAAAAAAAAAAATTGTAATGCTAACATTTTATGTTGTAAAATTTTCAGGCTTATATTCCTGCTTTAAAAGCAAATTATATAACTTGGCCATTTGTTCAATTTATTAATTTTGGATTTCTTCCTTTAAGATATCGGTTACCTTTTGTTAGTTCTATTGGTATTCTATGGACATGTTATCTTAGTTTATTGAATAGTGTAACGGAATTTTAATGCGATTATATACAGTATATGCATTTGTACTAACGATTCTATATGAAAAATACGAAAAACATCAATATTTCATGTTTTTTTTTTAAGAATAAATTTATTATGGAGAATTTGTTTTACAGATCAGTGCTGTGATTTTTTATTTTGTATATATACCAATTTTTTAGGTTTAAAAAATTTTAAGTGGCCCGATGGAGGATTGTAAAATATGGATACGAGCACGCTTGACAATCTGTGCTCTACAGCCGTTGAAATTTGATCGAATATCGTGGAATTAAACGTTCTGCAAGAACCCACATTAATAAGTCGACACGAGGCTTATTGAACTTATGGAGATAATTGTGTTTAATGAGCCTCCAATGAGACTTTACTATCATGGTCGTTTTTAATACTGATATTCCTTCTTTTGCGTTTCGCGCCATTTCAAAGGATTGTACCACTCTATCCATAAATATGACCTTACAATAGGTATAGATCTCTCTAACGGCTGCCTCATAAATTTGAGCTTTAGAATAATAGAGCTTATTTCGAAAATTATGCCCTCTGGTTTGCTCCACAATAATTTCTACTTCATTAATGATTAACTTGTACGCATGAAAATAGTTGCTTGAAATTGTCTTCAAAGTGGTGGAAAATTTCGTAAAAAATTTCGAGTGAAACGCGTCCATATTAACATGGAGAATTAGGAAATTTGCGTGGTAGTAATATATATCTGATGCTGGTTAAAATGTTTAACCATGAGATCAAGGACTGGACCGTGATGTTCTTTAGGACAGTTGACTTTTGGAGGTATTTGTTGAGCTAAGTATTAGAATCAATAATCAATTGGGGCATGGTCAATTAAAAGGCTTTTTTACATTTCAAATTTGGTATTATTAGTATAACCTGTTGATCGACATAAATTAGCCAATCACATGAACGCTTTTCTATAACTCCGCAGCAAGAATCGACAACTGGATAACTAAATTCTAATTTTATCATTTTTGCAAAAAATGCCATAAGCCTTCTTTTAATTGATCGCACTTAAATTAGTAAGTTAATTAAACTTATTAATTTTAAAAGTCTAATTTTGTACTTTTAAACTTTTACAGGGTCATTCAAAGCAGTGACAACAAATCAATTAAATAATGCGGTTTAAACCTATTAATAAAAAATATAAATAAAAATTTATCTTATAAATACATCTAACTTTTCTTACCTAGTATAAAGTAGTTCTAGTTATTTTAAAATTGTTTTCTTTCATGATTTTTAACCAATAAAATTTCAAGATTAGGTGTAATATAAACAACAAAAAAAAACCAAAAATAATGAAATTTTAATTAATAAGTTATTTTCTGTAGCTTAATTAAAAATGCATTTTATAAAATTTTATTTATAGAAATTATTATTTTAACCCCAAATTACAATGTTTTATTCTCAGTAAAAATTATAGAAAAAACCAATTTTTGAGAGTTTAAGTTTAAAAAATCTTTTTTGGAGTTGTGTTGATAATACAAATTTCTTAAAAAAAAACAGCTAATCAATTTATAAATATTCGTATAAAGAAGAAAACTGATATATAAGTCAACTTTGATATACTAATTAAAATAATAAAACCAAATTTTTATATATACAGTAATAAGTAATAATTTATTACTTTAGCTTTTAATATTAATTAAATATTTTTGTTATTACAATGACTAAAAGAATAGTTTATAGAATAGATAGGCAAACTTTGCAACTCTAATAAGTATCTGTTAATAATTATTAATTATTTTCATATCTCAAGCTACCTTTTAGAATACTGCTATAACTTAGTTCATATCTCAAGCTACAATTTTCCTAATTAGTCATCTGTTATTTATTTTTATCCTTATTGGGTTTATAACAAATCTCAGTATTGACTTTCTTTCTAACACATGAGTTTGGCTTTGAAGATTAGAGTTAATACCTCTATTCAGATTTATATATTTGGATATATACTATATTATATAATATAATATAATATAATGTTTTTATATCTAGATATAAATAAATTTGTATTCAAATTTATATTTGAATTTATACTATAATAAAACTGAATTAATCTGAATATAAAAAATATATCTGGATTGAAGTATTAACTCTACTAGAAACATCACTTCTTCCAATTTAGTTAGTCTAAGAGGGTTGATCTTACCTAGGCTTAAATACTATATAGTAACCTTCCTTTAGTATATGCATTTTATAATTTTTTAAAATATATTTAATTGATAATTCTCCAGTCAACTAAAGAATAAACATAGTATAACTATAACATGACTTAGTTTATTATATAAATCTAATATAGGCTAAATATAAAATTGCTCCAAGATAAACTTTTTTTGTACTAAGTTAATTGGTATTGTCAATTAATTGAAAGTTGTAGAGCTTATATTTGCAGTTTTAATAGTGGTTAAAGTATCAAAATCAGCCTAGTAAATGCCAAGATATTTTTAAAAAATGTTTTTTTACTATATAAACTTCTTTACAAACAATAGTAAAAAAGGTTACATAGTAAAAGAAATGTTTTTTAAAGATATCTTGGCATTCACCAGGCTAACTTTGACACTTTAACCACCATTAAAACCACAAAGATAAGCTTTACAACTTTCAATTAATTGACAAGATCAATTAATTTAGTATAAAAAAGTTTACTTTGGAGCAATTTTATATTTAGCCTATATTAGATTTACTGTATATAGTAAACTGAGTTATGTTATACTATGTTTATTCTTCAGTTGACTAGAAAATCATCAATTAATTTTAAATTTTTTGATCAAAAAATTTAAAATTAAATATCTTCTTTTAAATTTCCAAGAAATATAAAATTAAATATGCTGGCATAATGTATTTTATATTTTACAAGATTTATTAATACATAAAGTTAGAATCAATTAGTAAAATTTTAAGAATTATAATATTTTATATAATTTTATTAATAAAAGAAGTTTACTATTTATCACCACTGGTGATCATCACCATTGTTGCTATATCTCAAAAACCTACTAAATAAATGGAATTAAGTACTCTAAGTAAAAATATTCAGAACCCTTGAAAACCTCATAAAAACTAAAATTAAAACCTAATATCTAACTTATATTATATTATATAAAAAAAAAAACTATTAAAAAGTATTATAACTCTAAAAACTATACTGGTAATGATCACCAGTAGTGAAATGAAGTAATTCTCTAATAAAAATACCAAAAATATACTATAATAATATATTTAATTTATTTTTTGGTATTAAAGTGATCTCTTAAGTTGGAAAATGTTTTATTAGAAGTTTATATCTTTCAATTACAGTAAGAGTATATCAAGCCACATATGTATCTTTTGGGTGCCTAATTTAAATAATCTGTCTAAAGGTTTTACACTATTTGCTATATTTGTACTTCAACTAAGAAGATACCTATTTAAACTCTTTAACTGTAATCTACTTCAAAGCCAATAGATAACCTCTAACCCTGAATATTACTTACTATAGTTAACTCTCTCTTATTCAAACAGCCTGTTCTTGGGTTTTTAGTTTGGTTCTCAAAGAGATATTATAAGCTTATTTGAACTTTATAATAAAATTTATAAATGTCTTAGAGTTTTTAGTTCAGTTAAGAGAGAGTTTGGTTTAGAGAGGTTTGGTTAAAAGAGAGTTGACTATATACAAAAGTAGATTTTGTATATACCCAATCAGATTTTGCACCTATTTTAGAACTTATTAACCCCATATTAAGCTAGTTTATTTACAAGATAAACCTAACAGAGTAGTTCATATCATACATGTTTTTATCTGCATGTTTGTCATAGAGTTATACAATCACCATAGTGACTATTATTTGACCCAGATGGCTATATTCAATTTATAATCTCGCTTGGCTTTAGAGATATGGACTCCAACTTTATCGATACTCAATACTCTCAGTACATATATTTATTTTACCAACACGTTTTATTCACAATTCTTTTTACCAGTCGAAAAACTGTTGAATTCTTTATTTATATTTCGCTATTTAAGCGATTCAATCAATTCCATATTTTGTATTACAGTTTAACTATTTCTTTGTTATTAATTTATTTAACTTTATATTGTTCCTCAACAAATCGTCATATTTATGCATCAGTGATCACGGTATCTATTGTACCTGATCTTGCATAAGCCGCCCCACATCTTGATTTAGCTATGACTCTGATCAATCATGTGATCACATGAATCGATCGATTCATACTTTCATTGAGCCTTCTTACTTTCTGGTTTACTAACCAAATTAATATCGATTTGTATACTTTTTACTAGATATAAAGGCTGTTCATAAACTACGCGACACAAGCTGAACCCCATTGGTTCTTGTCCTCAAGGACCTTATTCTTTCCATTTGAATCTTCTTTATTTCGATTCAAAGATTTTTCATTCTAGGTAAACAACTTCTTTACCCTATTTCTAATTATAGGATTTATTAATTCACTTCTATCTAATTCATTTAAATATACCTGCCTGTACTTTTCGATTTCACAAACTCTATAAGGCCCTATCCACTAGTAGTCTAACTTCCGTGACATTGTTTCCAATGTTGAATTATAAATTAAAACCAAGTTCTCTATTTGGTAAGTTTCCTTTACTTTTATCTTTTTATCATACAATTCTTTCCACTGTTGTCTCACCTCATTTTTCTTAACTTGTACACACTTTAAGTTTTCTATCATTCCATTGATCTGCTTGGTTCTATACTTCAGTAGTTCATCCATTGTCCACTCTTTTCTGGCAACATAGACTTGGTAACTCTCCAACATCAATTGAATCAGTGTTAGGGTATCCTGCACATAAACTAACCGAAACGGTGAATATCCCAAATTGCTTACAGTCACATTAATTGCCCAAATGGCACTTCTTACATATTTATACCATTTATTTTGTTTTTCCATACAGATTTTGCAGATTATTCTCGAACTGTACATTTAGCTTGACCATTTGCCTCCGGATAGTAACTTGTCACAAATCTTTGGTTAATATTTAACCTCATTACTAATTCAGCTAAGACATTATTTTTGAACTTTGTACCTCTATCTGAAACTAGTACAGTGAAACATTCATGTCTTGTGACCACTTCATCCCAAATGAATTGGGCAATCGCTTGTGCATTTTTCTTCCTTAATGCCTTTCCCTCTACATAGTCTGTCAACTCTTCAACCACCAATACTACATACTCATATCCACCAGAAGTTCTTAGTAACGGCCTCAGGCAGTCAATATACAGCTTGTGAAATATCCAGCTTGTAGCAGTCATATATATTGGCTTTTTAATCATTTTTGTTGCGCATCTCTAATATTCAACACATAACCTTACATACTTCTTAGCATCCTCATATATATTTTCTGATGCCCAATTATAGTTCATCAAGATTTTTCTAGCAATACTATTGATACCTTGATGACCTCCATTCCTTGATGATTGGCTTTTATGATCTGATGTTTTTCTTCACTACTAAATATTACTCGTTTTGGTAAAACACCATCCTTGGCTCTTTTGTATAGATGTTTCCCAATTATACAGTATCGTTTCATCTTTCAGCATAATCATGCCAAATCTAATTTTTGTGTCCAAGTAAGATACTTTAAGTATCCTTTTATCCAATTCAAATCTTGCTCATTATTATTATATCTTTCCACATGCAT